GCTTCAGCTTGCTCTCCGCCTCGGCCGCTTTCAGGCGTTTCTTACAGCAAAACCAGAAGGTCAGGATGGCGGCCGCCGGGCGCCCGCCCCGCTCGCCCCGCCTGCCCGCCCTGCCCACCTGCTGCACGTATCTGTCCGTGGTCTTCCACATGTAGTAGTACTCGATGATGCTGGTCAGCGACTTCCAGGGCAGCTGCGGGAGGACAGCGTCAGGCCACCGCCTGGGGGCGCAGTCCGGCTGCATGGCAGGGCCCTGCCTGCAGGTGGCGCCGCCGCGCTGCCAGGCCGAGCTGGCCCAGCTGCTGTGCCTGGAGCCAGACCTGTGGACCCTGTGTAGGACACACGGTGCCCCGGCCTGCCCTGGACAGCTGGTGCGGGCACGCCGGGCCCTCTGCTGTCACCGCCCTGCTGCCCGCGGGCGGCTGTCCCCAGCTCTAGCCACGAGCCCATCAGCTCCGAGCAGCCGAGGCCAGCAGCATGGTTCGGGGGCCCAGCACTTCCCAGGGGCCCCAGGGCCCTGACCCCTGCCTCAGTGGCCTCTTCTGCACCCGGCAGCATCCCCCGTGGCCCCGCTGGTCTAACAGGACCACTGAGCCACGCCCCTGAGGAGCTGAGCCAGCCTGGCTCACGGCCAGTGGCCAGACTGGTGCCGGGGAGACCCTCTGCCTCGAGGAGGCCCCGCCCACATGGAAGCCCCAGGGGCCCCGGGGCAGAGGTGGCCAGGCCGGCCAGAGACCTCCAGCCCGCGCCGCGGCACTCACAAAGTCCTGCTGGATGTCCGTGAAGTCCTTGCCGTACTTCTCCAGGGCCTCCTCAAACAGGCTGGCCTCCGAGGCCGACCACTCCTCCATCTCATCCCTGCAGAGCACGGGCCCGCCCTGCGGCACCAGCGCCGAGATGGCCCTGGCCACGTCGTACACGCTCCTGTGCAGGGTGTCCATGGCGTGGAACTGCACGAGGGAGGGGCACGCTGGGTCCCGGGGGAGGCCCCAGGAGGGGACAGAGGGCGCCTGGCCCGGCCCTCCACCACCCGCCGGGGCCACGCACCAGGGTGATGTCCCGGGAGGCGGCCGCCGCGCTCATGTGCAGGCTGGGCTGACGGACGGAGCTGCTGCAGTCCAGGGCCCTTGCGAAGGTGCCCACAGAGCTGGGGGGAGAGGCGCGCTGGACATCAGAGCAGGTGCGGCCGCTGGGGCGCCCTGGCCAGGCTGGCCCAGCCCACAGATGCTGCCACTGGGCCAGTGTCTGGCGGTGACCAGCACAGTGGCCGGGCCAGGCAGACTGGAGGGCCCGGGGACAGCAGGAAGCGCCGTCTGATCTAGTCCCAGCCAGGGCTGGGGTGGCCAGGGCTGCACAGGGCCTCAGAGCAGAGAAGACCCTACAGCAGCCACCAGCCCCTCACGCCGAGGCAGGGCACCCTGGGCGTCGAGGGGCCCACAGCCGAGGCCGGGGTGGGGGTGGGGGCGGCCTCTATGAGCGGCACCCAGGACTCACCGGGCCACCACCAGGAACTGGTCAATCTGTTTGTCCACCAGTGGGTTGTGCGCCTCCCACACCTTGGTCTCCAGCGCGGTCTGGTCACGGCCGTCCTCCTCACCTGTCGGGGAGACCGGCTGGTCAGAAGACAGAGCGGTGCCCGGCTCTGATGTCATGCCTGGGCCTGCCCGCTGGGCGGCCCACACAGCAGCCCCAGGGGCCCGAGCACGGGCCGACGTGGCCCATCTTCTCCTGGGGGCCGCAGCCAGGCTGGGCCCTGTCCACTCAGGGTGACACCCCTGGGC